TTTTGATTTATAGATTTTATTGCTTTAAAAAGGATTTTTTTTAATTTAAGACAAACAAGACCAATAACAGGCCAATTCTGGCATCTGTCTTTCAGCTCACCGCAGTCTTTCGAGAGACGAAAGTCTTTATATTTCGGCAACTATCTTGAAAGCCCCTTTCTGTATTCCGAATAACTAATTCGTTGCCGGGGATTGAACTCGGATCTCTTAAATGGCAAGAAAGTGCTCTGCTCACTGGGCCATTGCCACTGTTACAGCAACGTTATCGAAATTGAAATTTATTCAGAACAAACAAAAAATTTCAAAATCGTTCGTTAAAAAGTTAAGTAAAGGTTTTTGTTTACTTAACTTTAATGTTCATTAAATGCCGTTGACGAATCATTAACTGACTGTGAGAGGGAATTTTTTCAGATAGTTACTGAGGGACACCTTAAGTAATCATTAAACGACTGTTACTGCGGCTGTTAAAGGCGGATACATCGTTTTAGTTCAGAACTGTTCTTCCATAGGGTTGATGCTTTATAGTTTATCTCCCAGTGAAATAGAAAGAAAAATTCAGAACTAGAACAATGAATCCGCCTTAAGAGACGTTTCATTCGTTCTTTTAAAAAAAATTCTGTACGATTTATGTGTCAGTTAATGTCTCCAAGAACGGTGATAAGTCACGATTCCTTATTGGCACGTCATGGCTACATTGAATGTTTCTTTGGAAATAATGGCACGTATATGATAAAGGTCCGCCGAACCTGGTCTACGGTACTCGTAGTCTCCAATTCGTAAGGGCCCGTAAATCTTCTAACAAATCTCGCTCTCGAATACTCCAAGTGCTGACTCATCGGGTGTTGTCATTGGCCATGCTTCTGCGCTATATACCAGCATGGACATGAGGGCCTAGGTTCGACTCCTAGTCAGGTCACCATCATAGTTTTTCTTTTTCGATGACGGTCTTTTTATATTTGTTGTTGTAGAGGCACTACTAAGCTCCGCCTAAGCCGATTTGTCCATCAATCGTTGTCGTCAAGCTCAACTAACGGTCAGCCCTTGAACCGGGGTGTTAGCTGGGTAGGATTGCGCTTAAATGCGGGAGTCGGTTGGTGTCATGGGTACACACGTTGGGGATATCGGGGTTGTGTCTGGATAAGCAGCTGTTTTGGCGGCTAAAATATCCGGAGTTCGACGTTCTGATAAGTTTGCAGTTTCACCCACTGTTCTAAACCAGTCCCCGGCGACCAATTGCCTTTTATGTTGCTAACACAGTTTCTTTGTATTTGCCTATGTAGGTGCTGCCTTTGAGCAACTTAAGGATTTTGTTTCGGTTCCGTACTTTATTGACAACTGCAGTTGTGTATGCGGAGAAGGAGAGCAGGCTGTCAAAGGTAACCCCTAATATCTTAGGGTTTTTGAATGTCGGAAGTCCAGGTTATGAAGGGGGTCGCAGTTGATTTCGTCGGGGAGAGGATTGGGCTCCGTTCAGTAAAGGGGTGTTGTTTCGTCGACCTATCCCGTTTAGCGCGATCAAAGCCAAAGGTGTAATCACCAAAAATATTTCTTTTTATTCATAAAGCCATAAAGATGGCAAAAATTTTAATATCGAAATTTCCTTAGTTAAAATTTTTTTGAGTAATCGTATAAAAAGTAATACATAATAATAACCATGATAATAATGTAATCATTACATTGAGGTTGTTCACACTTTCCTGGTTATCAGGTTATCTGGTTAAAAATCATTATTTTGTAGTGTATTTTATTATTGTAAGCTGAATAAAAAATATAACCACATAACCTGATAACCACACATCGCTTTTTACACCACTATGCAGCGAAATTACTCCGCCAATACACTCCCTAAACCAATTTTGCCGACCACTGATCTAAAGTGATATGTCGTCTACCAAAAGCATTAATTGCAGTATTGTTTGCAAAACCAGTTTCATGGCAGCGGGCTGCATACTTTCATCATGACGTTTGGGCACGACCGACAGTTTGGCACCCATATCGATGAGCAATCTCACTGAGGACGTTCTATCCAAAACGTAAAGGCGACTGGAACTCATGTCGTCCTCCGAAGCCGCCGCATTAAATGAAGGGCCGACTATTTTTCCAAGCGCATATGCCAGAAAACACATGGCGGTCGGCATCGTGCTGTATTTTAGCCCAACAAGCGATGATGCCAGAAGAAAACGTCGTGTAGATCATGCTGCCTCTCTGCATGTAGTGACTGGTCGTGAACGTTGCGGAGGTGCTTTACTGCGCTGCTGCTTACCCACAATATCATGTCGTTTAAGCCGGTTTACCAATTCCGAAATGTTTGCTGTTATATCGTCGCTTGATGTACTGACGGCGTCGACGCTGATGCCGGAATTGTTATTATATTATCGGGTTTCCACCATCTCTTTACCAGCTGTTGATTCGCTATGTCCATTATTTGGCGCAATAACGATGTACGTTTCTTTTGATTTAACTCAGAGTTCTCGAATAACCGTCTGGGACTTTTCTCGATGGCCTCACCAAACTCTGCAATAAACCTTTGTTTCAACGCGTATTTGCCGGTAAAGGATGGTGACCAAATAATGTCGCTAGCGTGTGCCAGTACTGCTAAATTCATCTTAGCCACAATTGTGAAATATTTAGTTTTGTCTGCGGAAATTCCTGCTCGCACGAATTGAGCCTCCACCTGCTCAAACCATAAGCGTGAGTCCGAACTCCAAAACGATGGTGGCGTAACTGCCAGCCGTGTTACATGAAATGGAGCAATTGCGTCTTGAAATATTTGCTCATTGTCGTTTGGCATGTGGTCGTCTACAAGGTCACAAATTTAAGTCGGGATTTTGAACGCTCTTCGGGGTCACCTTATTGAGTTTGATATACATATTAATATAATTCAAATGGAAAAAGGGTATGGGAATGCTATGGTCGTCTTGGCGGAGTTTAATTAACAGTCTCTATATGTATATAATTTGAATGTAAAAAAGATATAGCCGCTATGGTGGATCTGATTTAACAATTTAAAATACGTAATATAATTTGAATGAAAATATGATGTGAGCGCTTTGGCGGCAGACATACAGACATTACAGACATTGAAGTCGATAACATGTCCTCGACTCTCCTATTGATTCAAATTTTTAAGTAATTTAATGAAATCAATACAAGCTTAAATATAATAGTACGGTTCATGGAACTTTGAAGTGTTTTTTTTTGCAAAATGGCAACAATATTGTATGAATAACCTATCGCAACTCTGGATCGCACTGGTGAATTTTTTTCAAAACGCCACGCATAAGGGAAAACGAAAAATGTTTACAATTATATTTCGAAGCAGCCTTGACTGATATAAATACTTTTTCTTGAAGTATTGGAGAACAATAAAAAAACATGTTTTCCGCGACTTTGACTTTGCAATGATTGTCAGCTCAAATAATATGGCACTTGTCGCAAGAGTGTTCATATAAAAGTAATAATTTATTTTAATTTAATTTAAAAATAAATTTATATAACGAAGTTGGTCGCTTTTTGAAAATCGTTTGCTGTTTTTCTAGGCTGCTATATAGTGTAGCAAGTGTAGGTTTGAGAGTGATCACTACAGATATATAGTCTGTTTCAATACGATTCCGGTTTCCAGGATTTAGTCAGAAATTACAGGAAGTCATTCTTATTGAAAAAAACCTATAACTGGGAACACTTCTGAGAGAGTAACTGAGCAACTTTTGCTAGTCAGAAGTGCGGAGTTTTTCTTCTGGAAAATTCATGAAAAATGTCAAACTATAGGCAGGGTTCAATTTTTAAACAAAAAACAGAACGCGATGAAAGCCAAGAAAAAATGGAAGTTTACCACAAATTTTTGAATATGTACGCATTTATTCTTATTTGCATAGATTTTATTAATTATTTAGTGATCTTTCAGCCAAATCAGTGTTGTACCAATGACATGTAAACGAACCGACTGGCGGAAAAAGTGCTTTTTGCGTTCCCGTACACTTCTGCATCGGTTCTCCTTTAACACACACTTGAGAGAGTAAAATTGTAGTCTGACAGTTCCACAAGTTTTAGTCCGAAGTTCAAAGGAACAAACCAATAAGTTCGGGTCTTGATGGAAAAAACATATTGATTAATTTTGACTATTAAATTTTCAATTAAAAATCAAATAGATCACTGACTTACTTAATATTTTATAATATAAACGCTCAAATCTTCATTAAACATTTTTTTGTGCTTAAAACTCCCATTCAAACATATCGAAGTAATGAATTTCATATAATGTTATCACTTTTCACAATTTTTGCGAACCACTCAACACGAACTCTCTTTATTTCTGTTCACTGCTGCGTCATGTACGTTCAAATATTACCAACTCAATAGTCAGGCCAGTCAACACAAACTATACGGAAGCGATACAGGTCTCCCAAAAATATAAACAAAAATGCAATACATAAAAGCTTTTATGGGCATTCCATGTAGACAACATATCGCACATTTGCTGTAAGAGTGTCATAATCTAAGAAAAAAATAAAAATTTAGTTAAGTATACATAAATGACCTCTACCTCTTCTTCTATGTTGTGTAAAAATTTCATGGCTGTATCGTTTAACCATAGCTCATTAGAAGAAAACGTATTTTCATTTTTACTATAGGAGCGTATGTAAACTGTAAACTTTAAAGCCGTTTTCCCGAATTTTTGATTTTTTTGATTATGACACTCTTGCAGCAAATGTGCGATATGTACTTCTGTTCCCGCCCAGCCATAATTATTGATAAAACATTTCTTAATTGTATGGAAATATTGCAGAAGAAATAGGCGAACTCATGAATGAAACTATCGTGCGTCTATCATTGTAGTTGTTTTACAAATTATCTTGCTTATATGTATGTATATGTGTATGAACATGTGTATATCCCTGCATACGATATTCATAGTACATATATACACACATACTTATGCATAAGCATGGATTTCATCGTAATATCACTTCTCTGAGCTACAAATATATCGCAGTACATACCTCGTGATGTTGGGTGGTTCATCAGTATGGAGAGCGGACATTCATCATCGTCGAGAATGTATTCCGTTCCATCGCTATTCACCTACAACAAAGGAACATTATTTATTTAATTTAGTTTTCTTCGCTTTGTATACAATTTATTCAAACCTGCACCAAACAATAGTGTAAAGGATCAGCTTTGTCCAGACCATATTTTGACAACATTTCCCGAACGACGGCCTGAGCACAGTCGCGTATAGAAAGTAATAACGTTTTGTACGGAACATCTTGACATAGGCTCTCGCCGTAAATCTTTAGCGTCCCACCGGTGTCAGGCCCGCCATCACGTGATCGGAATTGCTGCAACTTCTTCTCAAGCTTTTGTTGTCGTCGCCGACGCATAACAGCTTCTGGATTGGAAATCGAACGAGTAAATGACGTCTCTGGCAGTTCGGTGTAAAGTTTTCCAGCCACTTGAGTTTCACCCTCTCTACAATCGTTAGCAATTCCTCCGTTAAAGCCGCCAGATGTCGATTCAGAATTTAATTTTGCGAGTTTTTCTTTCTTTTTTTGTTCTTTCTTTTCCCTCTTAGAAAGTTTTCGTTTGAAATTCATATCTGACTGTTCGATTGGCTAGGTAGGAATGCAGAAAAAAAAACGTGAATTTAGATTAGTTTTAAACCGAGTGAGTTGTAGTTCGTGGTTAACGAATTCAAGAAAGTTGATACAAGCACTCGTAAAATGTAGATACAAGAATTAGGATAGCGAGTTGAAGTAGTTCATAACACTATGCGACAGTCAAATTCGGGATGGGATGAAACCAACGGGAAATATTATATCGGTCAAAAACAAGTTATACGTGGCCCGGCGTTTCGCTGGGTCACGTCTAGGAAATAGGGGAAATTGTCATCTTTGGTGGTCTTTTTTTTTACATAACTCGAGAACCACTAGTCCGATTTTGCTCAAATAAATTTAAAAAAATTAAAAATTACAATTCCTTTAATCTGTTAATATAACGTTTTTCTATATACTCAACAGTTTTGCCGGTAAAAATAAATGTATGAAGAAAAAAAAAAATTGTTTTGCCTAATTTATTTTTACCGGCAAAACTGTTGATTATATAGAAAAACGTTATATGAACAGATTAAAGCAATTGTAATTTTTAATTTTTTTTTTAATTTGTTTGAGCAAAATCGGACTAGTGGTTCTCGAGTTATGTCAAAAAAAAGACAAAAAGGTGACAATTTCCCCTATATGATAGTTACTAACTTCAAATCGATATATCTCGATTCCTAGACGTGACCCAGCGAAACGCCGGGACACGTATAACTTCTTTTTTACCGATATAACTTTCCCCGGTAGTTTGAACCCTTCCCGATCACTGACCCCTACCATTTGTCTCACAGTGTAATTATTGTCCATAAAAGTATAATTTACAAGTATTTTGCGCACATATTTTTATTACTTTTGCTTACCGTAGTTTTTTGGTCAATATTCTTGAGCAAGAAACGACCTTCACGATCATCGATATGCCAATTTAACTGCACCAATAAAGGCTTTTCGTCAGGGTTCAAGCGGCGCTCTTCGCCATTCGCATGTACCTCATAGAGGGCGTAGTTTGGCACTGACAGCATACGCATGTCGGGACGAAATTTTTCGATTAGGGTATCTGCAGAAAATCATTTGCAACGAAATAAAATTAGAGTCGGTGAAAAGGAAAACATATTAAATATTAAATTTGACATCAACGCAACAGTAACTGTACCAATAACATCTGAGACAGTGGCGTCAGAGGCCACACGAATGCATTTGGTAGCGACTTTTTGTCCAGCATCTTGGAAATAAAACCGCATGACGCCATGAAATAGCAGGTTCTGTAAAGAAATATAAATTGCAGTAGTGAGGATTTAGATTACTTCATAGGGCCGAAAAAAGTTCAATTTGTTTCCGGCGATTTTGAACAGGAAAGTAAAATTTTTTCGCTATAAATGATATACCGTTGTAAAGGTATTAAAAAGCCTACAAAACTCCCCCAGAAAAGATTATCCTATCCTATCATACTAAAAGGCTAAATTTTTTAGGAAAACCGCCCCCCGTACGCAATATAATGTGAAGTGAAACTTCTCCTTGAATGGGAGTCATGAAATCCTCAGTTTCAAAAAAATCCACAAATACATTATCCCCAAACAAAAAATCGACACACTTTTTTGGTTGCCGTGTCATAAAATCTCCAAACTTTTGAATAAATGATATTACCGACCGTATAAACAATAGCCCAAGCTGAGTCTTATCTTTGCTCTGATTCGTAGTTACATCTTTTGTGTTTTCTTTTTACTTTTACACGCTTCAATTTTGTTTGATTCAAGTTTTTCGTTCTTTATATGGGAAACAACGAAAATGTCAAAAGCAAAGCAAGAAACTTCAAACGCCTTGACGGTACGGACGCATGTGTACTGTTCGCTTTTCTTCTCACCCCCTCTCTTCCATTTGCATACAGAATAGAATTCAATACTTGAACCAATGGTGAATAAACAGGTAAAGTAATAAAACAGCTATCTCGATTTAATTCTGAATGCACATATAACTTGCATCGCTACGTTATCACTAATTCTTTCGCAATTTGCACTTATAACATATTTGAGATTTATATCCCACAATATTTCACTTTGCAATTAAAATTTGTATTTGTCCATTAATCTTTTGCTTTAAACTATTTAGATAAAGAAATGCTGTAATTTTCCATTTATGGTTTATGTAAATGTGTTCAACAATGAAACTTGTGTTTATGTAAGTTCATATAAAATATGGTGGGATGCAATAACACCGTACGCAATAAGGCCATAATGGCTTTATTTCGCATGGCGATTGGAAATAAAGCTATAATTTCGATACGGCCTTATTTCCAACTAGAAATGGAAATAAAGCTATTATGGTTTTATTGCGCTTTTTAAAATATTTCTTTGGAAAACATCAAAGTAGTAAAGATTATACATGAATAAGACAACAATTAAAGACATGAGCCACTTAACAATAGTACGAGATTTTATTTTTTGAATTTTGAATTGTGTCGTTATTGTAGAGGACCATCGATACATTTATGACAGGAAAAGATACATACGTATGTATACTTTTGCAAAAAAACTGAAATTCAGTCGGAAACCGCCGTTTACGAACAGCTGTTCCTTATCTGTATATATAAAAATGGGGTGAAAAATGTATAGTAATTCGTCAATTGAGAACGGTTGGGCCGATTTGGCAAAAATTTTTTCTTAGTTGTTCGTAATTGCCAGGAGAAGGGAAACCCCTCCGGGAAAGTCAGGAAAATCGAAAATTCATTTTTTTATGGAATTTTTTGAGCAATTTCTTCGGAAAGGCTTTCGAATGGAAAAATAGAAAATTCTAAGTGAAAAACTCGGAAAAATCCGGAACAACGCGAAAAATTTGAATTTTTTTGACGAAATTTTGCATTTTATCGCACGATTTTGATGATGTGAAGCTTGGAAAATTAAGGATAATTGTGAAATTCATTGTGAGCATAATTAATTGGGCCCAATTTCGTCATATGTTTCATAACCGATTCAAATGGTTGCTGCTTTTTTGGAAAGGTCTTTACAAGGAGTGCACAAAGTTTTAATTTTTTCCTATAGGTGGTACAGGGGTCGAGCTATGCTAAAAAAAAATGCACTTGGTACGTAGGTAGCCTTTTGCCTAGATTAGCATATAGGATCAATTTTTTCCGTTAAGTGGACCGATCTATTCGAAAAAGTCTAATTTATGGTCCGATTTGCTTGAAATTTGGCACGTATGTAGGTAGCTTATTGCCAGGATTAAAATATAGGATATTTTTCTGATAAAAAAAAAATCATAAAACAGGGTTGAAATCTTGAAATTCCTGCCCGTATTTTGTTTGTAAGTCAAAGATGAGTGGCATTGTGCTACTATGATAGCACCGCCGAGTAATCATAGCCAACGTATGTACAGTAGTCGAAAAAATTATAGCCGCACCAAATTTCACAAGTTTTAAAATATTATTTTTGTTGTTATTTAATTTCGGTTAGTTTTTTATAGTTCGTTCTTTAACAACATCCGTATAAGTACAAGTTTGAAGGCAGTGTCACACGATTGGGAGTTTGCCAAAATTTGGTATAGATCGTATCCCAATTGTTTGAACACCCAGAATATTTTTCACTATCCCAATCACGAAAATTAATTTATTGAAATTTTTCAATAGAACAGCGCTGTATTGTACCAAGCTTTTGACTACAAAAAAAAAAATTCCCATTTTTTTACCAATAGCCCAATATAAAAATTTACAAATCTGTACAAATGTACCATTCGAGTGACACTGCCTTAAAAATATATGCAATTAAAAACAAAACTACAAATTTTCTTTCAAATTTACAGTTTTTTAATTAAATTCTGAGTATGCAGTTTTGTAGCCCATTGAATTCTATTAGAATAAAGAATTTTTAAAAGTTCGAAATTTGTACGAAAGTTTAGTGATTTTTTTTAATATTGCACAAATGAGTAGTCCACTTGCAAACACGTCCACAACAACAACTAACGTCCAAATTGTATATTTCACTTTGTTTGTTTGTTTGTTTGTTTATTGATTTATCCTAACACCACAATTTTACAATTATTTTATAGTGCTAGTCAAGCGTTTACAATTTTTTTATTAAATCTAAAATAACATATGTATATGATACAGTGTATGGCAATTTAGAATATACTTATGTATTTGGAAAAGAGGGAGAGGGCGGGGGAAACAGAAGAAAAAATAAATAATAATAAGTAGAAAATAAAAAGAAAAAGAAAAAATAAAATGTATATAATAATATGAAGGAATTTCAGGTACACACAGAGTAAACAAATTTATATATTAATTGCATTCATTGCTATAATAGTTAGTTAATTGGTTTTTAAAAGGTAGCGCATTTTTTAGTTTTCGTAACCTAATAGGAAGAGAGTTCCAAAGTCATATGGAATTGATTAAAAAAACTTACGTTCAGAGACAAGGGTGGTGTGTACTAAAAGTTCAGACCTCGATGATTGGAGAAATTGAAGTCTTTCGTACAAATAACTAGGCTTCTTGGAATTTATAATTTTGTGTTAGGAAACTAGTGTTCTAACTTTTAATAGGTCATCAAACGAAACGCTGAATAACTTTTTAGAAAATGCTGAGACATGGTCAAGTCTTTTTAGCGCGTACACATACCTGGCAATGTTGTTATAGACAAAATTTAACTTTTTCTTACATACACAGTCACAATTTGCATAAATTTACACGAGACAAATCAGAATTTAGGTCACTAATACAATTACGGACACGACTAATATGGTAGACAGTCGGAGAAAATTAATTTGAATTAACAAGCATAAATGCAAATTAAAATTGTACCCTTACAGACGGCAGTAATGCGAATAACCCAACCACAAGGTCGTGGGTTCGAGTCCCACGGCCAGTTCTTTTTTATAAGTTCTATGTTTTTTTACGTTGCTTTCAGTTAGTTGTTGTTGACTTTTTAACAAAATTCATCTCTAAAAACTAAAATTAACTTATAGTGAAATAAGAAATGTGATATAAAATAAAGCAAATGAAAATAAAATAAAGTAAAATTAAATATATAAATAAAATAAAATAAATAATAAAAACAAAAAATTTTTCGCAATCGCTCCAACCGAGGATCGAACCTGGCAGCTACAGGCTTGTGGCTCGCAATTCTCACCACTCGGCTACCGCGTACGCAAAATTCGACTGCTTCGTTTGCTTACTTGTACAAAAGACAACAACTGGTCGTTTTTACCAGTGTTGTCATCGAAAATTCCCCGTATCCGAGTTAATTCCCAAACATTTCGTGCATTTGTTCGGCTGCTTATGCTCATTTTAAAGAGGAAAAGCAAATTAGGGCTGGTTATGCAAATAATCGAGCCCATTTGTCCACCGTATAACAGAACATCTTACATACAATTGCACATCATCAGCATAAATGTGTACATTACAGTTTTTCAACACTTTAGGAAGGTCATTAATGTATAGGATGAATAGAAGCGGGCCGAGGATTGACCCTTGCGGTACTCCTTTAGATACGGCCAGGAAATCTAACGTTATGCCGCCAATACTCACAGCTTGAGTTCTATCGCCAAGGTAAGACCTGATCAGAGCAGTTGCGTGACCTGCGAAATTAAATAAGTTTCTCAATTTAAGGCATAGAAGTGTATGATCCACAGTGTCGAAAGCTTTCGAGTGGTCGAGAAGTGTCAGAAAACTGATGCTCTCCGTTACATCCAAAAGAGCAGTGGTGCAGCTTCTTCTAGTTCTGAAGTCCGATTGGCGGTCAGTCAAAAGACTGTTATCATACACATATGCACAGATTTGTTTGTGCAGGATACGCTCGATTACTTTTGACAAGAAAGGCAAAACAGATATAGGCCGGAACTCATTATTTGTCTTCCGAATAGGTATAACCTTAGCGAGCATTTCGGAAAAACGCAAGTTGTCAAAATAGCATTGATTAGGAAAGTCAAATGTGGCAGAACCTTTGGTAGAATAATCTTAAGAAAGACTGAGCTAGTTCCATCAAGTCCAGCTGCTTTGGACTTAATGGAGAGTATGGCTTGGACAACATCGCAATCATCAACATAACATTTACACGATCACGGTAGTACTCATAACATATATTATCACCAGATACAGTTTGTCTTACAAAGGACTTATTTAGCTCATTGACATCCGAAGTGGAGGGAGCATTTTCTACGGATTTGCCTACTCCAATCTTCTTAATAGTGTTCCAGGTTTGCCTGGAGTTTACTGCAGTTTCGAATTTTTCTTTATAAAACACTGACTTAGCCGACTTTACGGCTTTGTTAACTG